ACATAAATCCTCACATCCCTAGCTAACGTTGGCCACCAGTACTTCGTGCTAAGGCAGTGCACTGTCCGGCCGATACCCGGATGGCCAGAGGAGGGGGACGTATGAGCCCAACAAATGAGGCGATCGCGTACCTCGAGCGGAACGTACGTCCGACCCACAGGACACTGTGGAGGACTCGGGTCGGTGCGTAACGCCCGCTCGATCTCACCATCAACCTCCCACACCACCGGAGCAACCAGACAAGACTCCGGTAGTATGGGCGTGGACTCAACTGACCTCTCCTCTGCGTCATACCGCCGAGACAGAGCATCTGCCTTCCCGTTCTGGGACCCAGGGATGTATGTGATTTTAAACACAAACCGGGCTAGAAACATAGTCCAGCGAGCCTGGCGAGGATTCAGTCTCCTAGCTGCCCGGATGTACTCCAGGTTACGATGGTCAGTTAGAATGAGGAAAGGGTGTTGAGCCCCCTCGAGCCAATGCCGCCACACCTTTAGGGCCTGGACCACGGCTAACAGCTCCCTGTCTCCTACGTCATAATTCCGCTCCGCCGGACTGAGCTTCTTACTGTAAAACGCACAGGGACAGAGTTTAGGTGGAGTGCCAGAACGCTGGGAAAGAACGGCCCCTATCCCGGCCTCTGACGCGTCCACCTCTACTTGGAACGGTAAAGAGGGATCCGGATGCGCCAACACCGGCGCCGAGGTAAACAGGTCCTTCAGTCTCCCAAATGCCCTGTCCGCCTCAGCTGACCACCGCAAGCGCACCGGACCCCCCCTTTAACAGAGACGTTATGGGAGCTGCCACCTGTCCAAAACCCCGGATAAACCTCCGGTAATAATTCGCAAAACCCAAGAACCGTTGCACCTCCTTCACAGTGGTTGGGGTCTGCCAATTACGCACAGCTGACACCCGGTCTACCTCCATCTTCACCCCTGACGCAGACAACTGGTAACCCAGAAAGGAGACCGACTTCTGGAAAAACAGACATTTCTCTGCCTTGACATATAGGTCATGCTCCAACAGCCGCCTCAATACTCGGCGCACCAGGGCTACATGCTCAGCACGGGTAGGACTATACACCAGAATGTCGTCGATGTACACCACTACTCCCTGTCCCTGCATGTCCCGGAAAATCTCATCGACGAAGGATTGGAAGACTGAGGGAGCATTCATCAACCCATATGGCATGACTAGATACTCGTAGTGTCCGGAAGTCGTGCTAAACGCTGTCTTCCATTCATCGCCCTCTCGAATGCGCACCAAGTTATATGCGCTCCTAAGATCCAATTTTTTAAAGAACTGCGCACCGTGCAGTGACTCCGTCATAGTCGCAATCAGAGGAAGTGGATAGCTGTACTTCACTGTGATCTGATTGAGACCGCGGTAATCAATACACGGGCGCAGACCTCCATCCTTTTTCTTTACAAAAAAGAAACTTGAGGAAGCGGGTGAAACGGAGGCCCGTATGTATCCCTGTCTAAGAGACTCAGAGATGTACGTCTCCATAGCCTTTCTCTCCTCTTGAGACAAGGGATACACATGGCTCCGCGGGAGAGCTGCTCCTGACTGGAGATCTATCGCACAATCCCCCCGCCTATGAGGCGGCAGCTGCGCCGCCCGAGTCTTACTGAACGCCAGTGCCAAATCCTCATACTCGGGGGGAATCTGCAGTGCTGGCATTAGATTCGGACTCTCCACCGAGGTCGCCCCTATGGAAACACCCAGACACCACCCCTCACATTGAGCAGACCACCCTTTAAGAGCTTTCTCTCGCCACCTAATAATAGGGTCATGAGTCATAAACCAGGGAAGACCCAGCACTACCGGATACGCAGGAGAGTCAATCAGATAGAGCTGAATTCTCTCCTCATGACCCTCCTGCGCCATCATCTGAAGGGGTGCTGTGACCTCCCTAATCAACCCAGACCCTAACGGACGGCTATCTAGGGCATGGACGGGGAAAGGCTTATCCACTGGAAGGAGGGGAATCCCTAACTCTATACAGAACTGGCGATCTACAAAATTCCCAGCTGCGCCTGAATCTACCAGCGCCTTATGCTGGGAACGAGGTGCAACCTGTGGGAAACAAACAGGCAAGGTTAGGTGCACGACAGAAAGCTCTGGGTAAGCAGGGCGCCTACTCACCTGGGTGGACCCCCCAATGCGTGACCTGCCTTCTCCCTCACTGGAGGACCCGCCCCAACACCTAGCCGCGGTGTGCCCTCCACGACCACAGTTGGTGCAAGGGCCGGGTCCCCTCGGGCTCCTCCTCCTCCGTTCCCTAGCGCCAGCACCTCCGAGCTCCATAGGGCTCGGCTCGGAGGTGCTGGAGAGTGGAATGGGCAACCCCCTCCCGGAACGTCCACGGGTGGCGAGCAGGGTATCCAGCCGGATGGCCATGTCGACAAGCTGGTCGAAAGTCAACGAAGTGTCCCTGCACGCCAACTCTCGCTGGACGTCCTCCCGGAGGCTGCAGCGGAAATGGTCGATATGGGCCCGCTCATTCCACCCTGCATCAGCAGCTAGGGTCCGAAACTCCAAGGCAAAGTCCTGGGCGCTCCTCATCCCCTGTCGGAGGTAGAATAGACGCTCCCCCCGCCGCCTTCCCTTCTGGTGGATGGTCGAACACAGCACGGAAGCGGCGGGAGAACTCCGCATAGTTCGTGGTAGCGGCGTCCATTCTCCTCCACTCGGCGTTGGCCCACTCCAACGCCTTGCCGGTGAGACAGGAGATGAGGGCTGAGACGCTCTCGTGTCCCGAGGGCGCCGGGTGTACGGTGGCGAGGTAGAGCTCCACCTGCAGCAGGAACCCTTGACACCCGGCAGTGGAGCCGTCGTACGCCCTCGGGAGCGAGAGCCGAATCCCACTAGGTTCCGGAGATGAGACAGGAGGGCTGACCGATGGGGCTGGTTCGGTTCGTGGAGGTGTGGGAACCCCGCTGGTCTCCCATCGGTGCAGAGTATTCATCACCCCCTCCAGGGCATGACAGACCTGGTTGATGCGGTCCTCCTGGCCACGAAGACGTTCAGCCATCTCGGCTGTCGGCTCGGTCGCTCCTGCTGATTCCATGGATATGATGCGTGATTCTGTCAGAGTGGTGTGTGTAGATGAGTGGAAGGAATCAAGCGCAGGAACCAGGATGACTACAACCGTCTTTTATAGTACTGTTCAACACGTGAACAAAAATAGTCGCCTACCCAACCGGGTGGCGCAAACAATTACGCACAAAACACAGTGCGAAAATACACAGGAAAAGCGCACGCAGTGCGAACTCTCGGGACACGCCAACAACGAGAGAAATAAACCATCAGAGGCAGTCTGACAACAAACAATCACGCATAACACCTGACCCACACACAAGAAACTAAATAGGGAAACAATTAAGACACAAATAAGGGACAGGTGTTATGAACAGACAAAACCAAATGAACATGAAACATAGAACGGTGGCAGCTAGTACTCCGGAGACGACGACCGCCGAAGCCTGCCCGAACAAGGAAGAGGAGCAGCCTCGGCCGAAACCGTGACAAGGACCTTGAAATGCTTCTTACGAAGCCACTCCTTCGTTGCCCGGGCGGTGTGTTTGGGATCATTGTCATGCTGAAAGACCCAGCCACGTTTCATCTTCAATGCCCTTGCTGATGGAAGGAGGTTTTCACTCAAAATCTCACGATACATGGCCCCATTCATTCTTTCCTTTACACTGATCAGTCGTCCTGGTCCCTTTGCAGAAAAACAGCCCCAAATTATGATGTTTTCACTCCCATGCTTCACAGTAGGTATGGTGTTCTTTGGATGCAACTCAGCATTCTTTGTCCTCCAAACACGACGAGTTGAGTTTTTACCAAAAAGTTATATTTTGGTTTCATCTGACCATATGACATTCTCCCAATCCTCTTCTGGATGCACTCTAGCAAACTTCAGACGGGCCTGGACATGTACTGGCTTAAGCAGGGGGACACGTCTAGCACTGCAGGATTTGAGTCCCTGGCGGCGTAGTGTGTTACTGATGGTAGGCTTTGTTACTTTGGTCCCAGCTCTCTGCAGGTCATTCACTAGGTCCCCCCGTGTGGTTCTGGGATTTTTGCTCACCGTTCTTGTGATCATTTTGACCCCACGGGGTGAGATCTTGTGTGGAGCCCCAGATCGAGGGAGATTATCAGTGGTCTTGTATGTCTTCCATTTCCTAATAATTGCTCCCACAGTTGATTTCTTCAAACCAAGCTGCTTACCTATTGCAGATTCAGTCTTCCCAGCCTGGTGCAGGTCTACAATTTTGTTTCTGGTGTCCTTTGACAGCTCTTTGGTCTTGGCCATAGTGGAGTTTGGAGTGTGACTGTTTGAGGTTGTGGACAGGTGTCTTTTATACTGATAACAAGTTCAAACAGGTGCCATTAATACAGGTAACGAGTGGAGGACAGAGGAGCCTCTTAAAGAAGAAGTTACAGGTCTGTGAGAGCCAGAAATCTTGTTTGTTTGTAGGTGACCAAATACTTATTTTCCACCATAATTTGCAAATAAATTCATTAAAAATCCTACAATGTGATTTTCTGGATTTTCATTTTCTCAATTTGTCTGTCATAGTTGACGTGTACCTATGATGAAAATTACAGGCCTCTCTCATATTTTTAAGTGGGAGAACTTGCACAATTGGTGGCTGACTAAATACTTTTTTTCCCCACTGTACAGGTAGTACAGGTTGAATATTTCCTATTTCATTCAACATGGTCGCAATCTACCATGCCTCAGAGCCCTTGGTTACTAGACACACATGTTTAGAAGTTGTATAAAAAAAAAAAATGTAAAGGTCCTTTCCTAGTGGTGGAATCTGAGCAAAGCGTCTTCAGTAGGCAGCAAAGAGCTTCAGTTCCCAGCTGAGAAATCCTCTTCTGTTAAAATAGGAGCAACAGCTTTCTATAAAGTGTTTTCAGGATGCCACTCATCCTACCAGTCTGGTAGTTGAGGAGGACATTCCCTTACCGTCCTCCTTTACCCATCAATGGAGAAAGCGTGTTAGGTCCTCTCGTATCTCGGCTTCATCCCAGGATCCCTGAATGTTATCTTTGTCACTCTGCAGTCGGATCAACAGTAGAGGACACAGCAGGGTCACAGTCCCCAACACTGCAGCCAACAGCACAGCCCCCCCAGGCCACAGAGAGCCAAGCCCCCCCACTCCACACACACCCACCAGCACACACACACACCCCCAAACCCCCGCGGGGCACGGTCTCTCAGCCGCTGCAGCAGGCAAGGCCATAGGGCAAACACTAACAGGGCCCAGCAGAGCATGGTGAAGGTATGAAGGGAGGAGGGAGAGGAGGAAGAGTCCAGGCCACCGGAGGTGTGCAGGTCCCCGGGGAGGCGCGAGGCCAGGCAGACAGAGGCGAACAGGGCAGCGTTGAGAGAGAGGCTCCCAGGGGGAGAAGGTTGGGCGTAGGGGAAGGCCACCAGGTGGGCCAGCAGCATCAGGGCTGTCATGGCGTACACCGTGTCTGTACTGACTGACTCTGTTAACGTCCTGAGGACAGGAGAGAACCCAAAGGTCAGACCAACGTGTACGATGGTGGTTGTCTGAATCTCCCCGCGGAGCCAGTCCTTGGTAGAGTCCATAGCCCAGCAGGGCACAGAGCAGGCCGCTCCACAGCAGCGTGGCAGGGGAGAGCAGGCCCTGCTCCATGTACAACCAGAGAGTGAGGAACAGAGCCACACAGGTGATCTGCTGAGACACCAGTCCTGCCTCCCACACCACGGCCCAGTAGCGATATTGGCGGAGGCCCTCGTTCCTCCTGAGCTCCTCCAGGAAGCGGCGGTCCACATAGTTATCAGGAAAGGGCTGACGTTCCCATAGAACTTTCCTCCAGGGCACCGCTGGGCCTGGGGCTGCCCCTGACCCACTGTCTGCCCCCATCAACTGCGAGGGATAGAGCTGGACCCCTCTGAAAATAAACACTCAAGTGGTTTATGGGGAAACATTTAAATGTCTTGGAATGGCCTAGTCAATCCAATTGTGAATCTGTGGTATGAATTAAAGATTGCTGTACACCAGCGGAACCCATCCAACTTGAAGGAGCTGGAGCAGTTTTAACTTGAAGAATGGGCAAAAATCCCAGTGGCTAGATGTGCCAAGCTTATAGAGACATACCCCAAGATATTTGCAGCTGTAATTGCTGCAAAAGGTGGCTCTACAAGGTATTGACTTTGGGGGGGTGAATAGTTATGCACGCTCAAGTTCTGTTTTTTTTGTGTTCTTTTTTGTTTGTTTCACAAGAAAAAATATTTTGCATCTTCAAAGTGGTAGGCATGTTGTGTAAATCAAATGATACAAACCCCCAAAAAATCAATTTGAAGTCCAGGTTGTAAGGCAATAAAATAGGAAAAATGCCAAGGGGGGTGAATACTTTCGCAAGCCACTGAATCTTAACAGATGGATTTTGATGGAGATGTGTGTATTATGCTAATTAGATTTTTTTGGGGGGGGCAGACATCGACTATGTTTTTGCATGTACATTGATTGACTGATAAATAACATACATTTCTCTAAACTAATCCAATCAGTTAGTTGGATTTGTTGCATCTGTTTCTGAAATGGTTGTTCCAGTTTAAATGGCTTTGGTAGTCTCCTCACTGTGTTCCTAACCCTGGCAGTCATTTTGAATGCAGGTTGCGGGTGAATAAAAATTCCAAACGTTGGATATCCTTACTTTTCCAATAGGAATTACATATCACTTTGCAAGCCAGCATAATGTGACTTGCAGGTAGGGTTGCAAAATTCTAGTAACTTTCGTAAAATTCCCCGGTTTTACAGAAATCCCGGTTGGCAGATTCCTGGAAACGGGAGGGAATAAGCAGGAAATCCGTAAAGTTACAGGAATTTTGCAACCCTACTTGCAGGCTCATTGTAATGACTGGAATGCCATTAATGGAACAGAGTCAAACATGGGGTTTCTATGTGTTTGATACCATTCCATAAATTCCATTCCAGCCATTCCAATGAGCCCATCCTCCTATAACTCCTCCCACCAGCCTCCTCTAGTTCCAAAGTATTCCCACTCATAATGGAGACATACTGTATATGTGATCGTATACAAATGTAAACAAGGTTTGCAATGATTATGTTTCAATCAAATATTATATATGTTAGAGCTTCTTGCGGTCAATTGCGATCTACAAATTATTTGTTACTATGTTCTGGCCCCCTGACCATCCGTTCAAGAAAAAAATTGGCCCGCGGCTGAATCTTGTTGATGATCCCTGCCTTATGAGATTTGCAAAGGCATTGTCATAAAGATTTTAATTTTAATGATAACATTCTCCTTGGAACTCACTTGGTGACAGCCACAGGACTGAAAATTAATGAATTCAAAAACCATGTCTCTGTCACTAACAAATACAGTCAGGGGTGGTAACTCTACAATTCACTAGAAAAGGCAAGGTACAATGGAAAATTATAATGGAGGCATGATTTAGTGGCAGAGAATTTCACCGACTTTCTGGAGCAAACCAGCTAGCCCTGGGCTAAGGTTGGTGCTAACCCACTTCAGAATGTGCAAGTGTGAACACTCGCTTAGCCCTGGGCTAAAATCTCCCTTAGCCCTGGGCTAAGGAGGCTCTTAGCCCAGGGCTAAGGTGTGAAAGCCCCTATGTGTGAACATTTTTTATTATTTATTTATTTATTTTATTTATCTTATTTTTTTTATTTTTTTTGGGGGGGGGGGAATGGATCAGCTTAATATTGCAGATAGATTGTATCTTCTATCAATGTAATTGTCTGCATCACTTCCAATCCCCCATGTTTTTTTTATTTTTAATTTTTTTATATACAGTGGGGAGAACAAGTATTTGATACACTGCCGATTTTGCAGGTTTTCCTACTTATAAAGCATTTAGAGGTCTGTAATTTTTATCATATGTACACTTCAACTGTGAGAGACGGAATCTAAAACAAAAATAATGACATAAGTATTTGATCACCTACCAACCAGTAAGAATTACGGATCTCACAGACCTGTTAGTTTTTCTTTAAGAAGCCCTCTTGTTCTCCACTCATTACCTGCATTAACTGCTCCTGTTTGAACTCGTTACCTGTATAAAAGACACCTGTCCACACACTCAATCAAACAGACTCCAACCTCTCCACAATGGCCAAGACCAGAGAGCTGTGTAAGGACATCAGGGATAAAATTGTAGACCTGCACAAGGCTGGGATGGGCTACAGGACAAAAGGCAAGCAGCTTGGTGAGAAGGCAACAACTGTTGGCGCAATTATTAGAAAATGGAAGAAGTTCAAGATGACGGTCAATCACCCTCGGTCTGGGGCTCCATGCAAGATCTCACCTCGTGGGGCATCAATGATCATGAGGAAGGTGAGGGATCAGCCCAGAACTACACGGCAGGACCTGGTCAATGACCTGAAGAGTGCTGGGACCACAGTCTCAAAGAAAACCATTAGTAACACACTACGCCGTCATGGATTAAAATCCTGCAGCGCACGCAAGGTCCCCCTGCTCAAGCCAGCGCATGTCCAGGCCCGTCTGAAGTTTGCCAATGACCATCTGGATGATCCAGAGGAGGAATGGGAGAAGGTCATGTGGTCTGATGAGACAAAAATAGAGCTTTTTGGTCTAAACTCCACTCGCCGTGTTTGGAGGAAGAAGAAGGATGAGTACAACCCCAAGAACACCATCCCAACCGTGAAGCATTCTTTGGGGATGCTTTTCTGCAAAGGGGACAGGACGACTGCTCCGTATTGAGGGGAGGATGGATGGGGCCATGTATCGCGAGATCTTGGCCAACAACCTCCTTCCCTCAGTAAGAGCATTGAAGATGGGTTGTGGCTGGGTCTTCCAGCATGACAGCGACCCGAAACACACAGCCAGGGCAACTAAGGAGTGGCTCCGTAAGAAGCATCTCAAGGTCCTGGAGTGGCCTAGCCAGTCTCCAGACCTGAACCTAATAGAACATCTTTGGAGGGAGCTGAAAGTCCGTATTGCCCAGCGACAGCCACGAAACCTGAAGGATCTGGAGAAGGTCTGTATGGAGGAGTGGGCCAAAACCCCTGCTGCAGTGTGTGCAAAGCTGGTCAAGACCTACAGGAAACTTATGATCTCTGTAATTGCAAACAAAGGTTTATGTACCAAATATTAAGTTCTGCTTTTCTGATGTATCAAATACTTATGTCATGCAATAAAATGCAAATTAATTACTTAAAAATCATACAATGTGAATTTCTGGATTTTTGTTTTAGATTCCGTCTCTCACAGTTGAAGTGTACCTATGGCAAAAATTACAGACCTCTACATGCTTTGTAAGTAGGAAAACCTGCAAAATCGGCAGTGTATCAAATACTTGTTCTCCCCACTGTATATATATACTCCCCTTTATTACTTTTCAACCCCACCATCCTTTCCCTACTTGGAGTAAATTAGTGAACAACAATGCCCAGGCCTCTACTTCCGGTCTATACTTACTATCTACACCTTATGGACAGAGTTAATTTTACAATAATTCTATTATATATAAAAAAAAAAAATGTTTTTTTTATTTTTTTAAATTTGCTCCTGAACTTCTTCTACTCTCAACCTCTCCGATCATTTTCATGATGTCCATCCGGTTTGCTTCTATATGCCATATCTTTCTAACTGTGCACTTTCCCAAAAGCTCCCAACATACAACCTATATACTTATTATGGACACAGTATGCTTATATTATTAGCTATCTTTGTTCTTGTGTGAACGATAGTTGGAGTCCTCTGTCACAATGACTACGTAAGGCTAGCTTGACTGGAGCTAACGTTAGCCGATGTTAGCTTCTATGCTAACAGATTTTTATCAAATTAGTTTTTCTGGATTTTTATGTTATTCTGTCTCTCACTGTTCAAATAAACCTACCATTAAAATTATAGACTGATCATGTCTTTGTCAGTGGGCAAACGTACAAAATCAGCAGGGTATCAAATACTTTTTTCCCTCACTGTATAACACAAGGATGTAACCCAAACAAAAGAGCAAGGGGTAAACTTCTAAATAATACACGGGACGAGACCCATAATAACAAGTGCACAATACTCGGTATGTAAACTGTGATACAATGTACTCACAAGACCAACGGACATAGGACAATAATTGACAAGGAAAATGGGTAACAGAGGGCACATATATACACATACTAATCAGGGGAAATGTGAACCAGGAGTGCATAATGAGACAAGACAGTCCAGGGTTGGTGATAATGAACCAGGTCAGTGACGCCTAGAAGGCTTGTGAAGTAGACCTCCGGAGCTGGTGAACGGAATGAGCAGCAGTACCGGCGGGATCCGTGACATTTTCTTTGACGTTAGAGACAGACTAGCACCAACAATAGTAGCCTAATGGCTCTGACTTGATCAGAAACTTGCCCATAACGGTATATAAATGCATCAATATAATACCATCCAACCTCTTGACGTTGGTGGGTTTATTTAATGCATTATACTGCCCTTATGCCATTGTAATGCACAATCACTAAAGATGGTACCATATGATAATGTTTTTGTCCATTTATCAGAATTGTGCGTTACCATCGTAGAATGTATAATGCAGGTTAAAAGCATGGTGTTTCCATGATCCACATCTATACCATGGTAAAATGATGCAATACCATGGTATTATTTAGGTGCATGGCAGTACCATCATACTTCAAAGCTAAAACCAGGTTGTGACTATAGGGGTAGCAGGTTAGGAGAGCATTTTAGCTAACCATAACCCTTTTCCTAACCTTAACCTAAGTCTCCTAACCTCCTAACCTGCCACGTTAATTATCCTAACCTGCTGCGTAAATTCTCCAAACCTGCTACGAAAAAGTCACTTCAGCTGTACTCCTTCTAGTCAGAACCCTAAAACCATGGTACGTTGACATTATTTAGATCTATAACATGGTATAAATGATGGTATAAATTATCCAATACCATGGTAATATTTAGGTACAATGGCAGTACGTACCATCATCCTTCAAGGCTAAAATCATGATACATTATTTCTCAACTTTCCTAATATTAAGCACATGGCTTCTCTTTACAACAGGAGTATAGCCTACCTGGCTGGTGGGAAAAGTGTCCTCCATTCGCTATTTAAGTGCATAGATAACATGTATTCTTTTTCGCTGCCCCTGTTTCGAGACAGGTGCATGATAATGGTCCATTCTAAATCAAAACAAATTTCACACATATATTATTGAGTATATGTAAAGACAAGATTAAGTCAAGAATAGTGTGATGGGTGACAATATTAGCCTATCACTTGTGAACGATATATTATCACTTGTGAATGATGCCCAGTTTAAGGCAAGAAACAGTGCATGCTTTTTTACGACTTTTTCAAATCATAGTCGCACACCTCATGTAGCCTAGCCCATAGGCCTATATGTTTTAATAAGGTTTGTATCACAACTAAAGTGGCCAAATAACTTCTTAAAATGAAGCACATTAATCCGCTTTACAACGGGTGTAGAGCTTAACCGGCATACGTACACAGCGCGTGAGTTTCAAGTTTGGGGAAGATCATTTTCATCGTACAAATGCACCTTTATAATAAAGCATTACATGTATAAATCGCATTTGTGGTCACTTTGAGAGTGGTGCTTTCCTGCTAATGGAACATTTACGCTTATAGCCTACTGCCGTGTGTGCATTGCTGCACTTATAATGTGAAGAAAAAGCCTAATAGTTTATCAACATTTTAAGCTAAACATTTTCATCTGTTGCGTCAGGCTGCCATTCAGCTCCTCATTAGTAATCTGCTTGAAATTCAGCATAATGTCTAATAGGCTCAGAGATTACATTTACAACAATATCTAGCACAATAGAAAGAAATATGGCATAACCCTCAACCTTTGCACAGTGACCAGACCGTACAAATGTAGGTAGGTAGGCAGGCAGACAGTATCTATCTATAGGCATGTCTATTAGGCATGCTTAGGCAAATATTTTTAAAATAGTAAAACCAGTTTCAATTTTAGAGATGTACAACAGTAAATTGTTGTATTATTGTTTCTCTTCACTGTTTGCTAGTAAACTTAGCTAGTCAGCTTGCTGGATATGCAATACTTGTTATTTACATCTGTTTGGAATCCTGTCTTGCATCATGTCTATAATTTTGTGAGACTGAAATGCATCCATGGTCATAATCATAACCAATGTCAACCCTCATCAATTATGTTACATAGCTAGCTAGTAAAATGAATTACAGTTGCTGATGTTACACATGTTTGCGAATAAATTGCAAATGTGAGGCGTGGCGCATAAAAGTTGGCAGGCGCCAGGCTAACTAGCTAGCCAACTCAAGTCATGTGCTAACATTTGCTGGTAAACCTAGCTTTAGGTTGCTGGTTGCAACGTTGTAGCTCGCTGTTTAGTAGCTAGCCATATATACGACTAAAAAGAGAAGAGGTTTTTACAACTGAGATACAATTGATCTCCGATTGTAAAGCATTTTCTATTTTTAGTCATAGATATGGCTACCGGTAGTTGTTTAGCTAGCAAGCTAACTTAGCTAGGCGCCATATTTGTAATCTGCCCTCTTGGTGCTGGCATTGGCTGTAGCTGAGCTTCTAATGTTAGCTAAATCCAACTCTTTGTTTTGAATCCATAGCTATATTCCGGTTGAAACATCTATGGTTGAATGTCACCATGCAGCTAACAGATGCTCCATCGTCAAATTTGTGTTCATGAGAGGAATCACTTGAAGCCTTTGTCTCTGGTCAATTCTTTCAGTTTTGCCCAAAGGATTGTTGTTAGTGTCTGCCTCCTTTTCAAAAAAGCCCACCTTGGGTGAGAGAGACGGGGGCCAGAGCATGAAGCACTGCCCAACACAAGTTGTAGTCTTTCAGAGACGGGGAAAAAATGTGTCTGCTTGTATATTTACACTGTAGGTTTTTAGGGTTGGGATAATAACCAGTAAAAATTACTGACATGGCAGATTCGGACGGGACTAAAATTACAGATGTTGTGATTTGTGCTCGTGCACATAATTACATTAACTGAGCTCCCCAAGTAAAACTCATCCCGTCCGAATAGGGCTTGTCAACTTTCTGGGAATTACTCTTTACTAAATTTCCACCCATGCCAAATGGCATCCTATTCCCTACGGTGCCCTACTTTTGAGCAAGGCCTATAGCCCTGCTCAAACGTAGTGCCCCATATAAGGAATAGGTTTCCGTTTGGGATGCAAGCCCATATAAAAATCTCTCTTGTACATCTTGTATTTGTTGTCACAACTCACACACTATCAAGATGGGCTTCACTACTAATCCAATGCTGCTCTGCGGAGGATGGAGAGAGTGGAGACTCTGGCCGACTCGCCAACCTTGCTGTGTAAGCACGTGCCACCTTTTGGACCCGTCGAATTGTGGCCTGTATAGTTAACCACCGTCACATCATAGGAGATGTGGCGCAACAAGCTGAGGTAACCCACTAGGCAAAAAAGTTTTGAATCAACATTGTTTTCATTTCATTTCAAAATGTGATGATGTTGAATCAACGCGGAAAACTGATTGGATTTGCAAAAAGTCATCAACGTAAGGGCATTTCGTATTTATTTCACTTTTAACCTAAATCCAATGACATGGTGACATTTGTTTGTGTATTTAAGAGCATCTGCTAAATGACGAACATTTAATGTAAATGTTAATGTTGAATTTGCGTTAGTTGAAAACTCAACCTAATGTAAATCACAACTAGACGTTGAACTGACGTCTGTGCCCAGTGGGAAATCACCCCATCACTGGCGCCGAAATCCCCTTACAGAGAGCCAAGGTCGGAGGTCAGGGCCATCTGCCTTTTAAAACAGATGAAATGACATATTCATGACCCACGGACGACTTGCTCGTTCGTTTGTTTATTTAATTAAATTATACCCTGGACCCGATACTCGGGAGTATGCGACAGGCATACAGATTGAACGCGGAGCCGTGCGGTAAACATTTGCAATGTTAATGTGGGTATCTTTTTAATGTTTTTCTCTTCAAGGAGAATGTGGTCGATTGGATTCTTGTTGATTTAGGACTAATTTCGAGCTTTAGCTCTTCAAATTGGGATAAAAAAATGCCTGTGTGACGTGAATGCTGTGTATAAGCAGAGGGAATATTAGCGACTACTACTATTCGTTTTGTTAGAGCGAGGCTTGAGCTCTTGATCCCCTGGTGTGAATTTGGAATAACTTCTAAGATTGCCTCTTGCACAAATACTTGCTGCATTAAAATACCAAAATTGGTATTCATGTAATGCAATGTAAATTGTATGGAAGCACATTAAACAGAGCATGGCCAACATAGTCCCTTTTCCCCTTTTCCTACGTTCATATATGAATTATAAAAATGGTTTAGCGAAAGCAATTAATACAACATACAATTAATACATGACAATTAATATGACATTAGTATGACTTGATGAATGTTAATAATAATGTTATATTGACCCTTGAATGCACCTTGATTGTATCTAGTTTTTCTAGGTTCTTTCACTCATTCACCTGCCGTTTTCAAGCACTTCAATTCTCTTTGACTCTATGACCTTTTGACTTGTTTGCTGGTTAATGCACATTACAAATAACTGCAGTTCCTGCTATTTTGTTATGGTGACCTTCAAGCCCCAAGCCCAAGGTCTTTGAACTCTGTAGAAAGTACAGAAATAAGTGGAAGTTTCATTGACTATAGGCTTTATTGACCTTCAGTGTGTCTTTTCCTCCTTCCACTCAAAGGCATGGGGAGCTTTACGGTTAATTTCCCCTTCGACCAGGGATTTGCCTGTGGTGGCTTCTCTAGCTGTCAAGGGGGGCACATACAGCCCCCAGATAACTTTAACTCTGAGCTCAAAACCCACTTAATGGCACAGAAACAGCGAACATTAGATGTCTGAAAGCTCCAATTTCCCTCAACATACATACAAAGATGGAGGATCGTCCACTAGAGCGAGGGTAATAGTCGACCTGACAGCTATCTTCACAGATTTCCCCACCACCGCATCAACTGGGTTGCACCTTAGGCATTGATGCCATAACATGGTGCATGTCGAGGAACTGAGAACTATGGCGTTGTCTAGAACCTTCGAGCGAAAGTCAAGGACTCCTGGTGTGACAGTTTCCAGTATCTCCCACATACATCTGAGGAAACAGCAACTTCTTGACTTATTCATTAAAGCATGATGCGAAAGCCAAGGAAAGTGACCTTCGGTATGCAGCAGTGCTCAATTTCTATAAAGCTCACCAGATGCATTTTCTCTGTTCCACTGTAGTGTGTTTGGACACTGGCAAATAACAGTATTTCACAGAATGAATAGTACAGTGTGGTAAGTTATAGGATTCTATTTTCTTTTTTTGTATAAATATAACAGACAATAAATACTGTTTTTATTATTTGGTAGGCTATTGTACTAGTATGCTGTACATTGGGTGGAATTGCGGGAACCCGGTTACCAACATTTACCGGGATTTACAGCCCAAAGTCACTCCCTTTTCCCAGGAAAAATAACTGTGAGAAACCGGTAAATTATAATAAATTATTGATTTGAACAGCATGGCGTGAAATGGAACTGTTAATTATATGCGATGTCTAAATCTGGCTTCTCTACGGCCTCTGCATGATGAATCATCAACGCTCAGGGTGGGGACAGACAGCCCATCTCAGTATGGAGCACAGTTCACAATGCACGTAGACCTATCATCTCATCATGGCAACTTTTTTTATTGTGACAGGTAGGCCTGCATTTGCTGCAGCATAGTCTATGCTACAGGAATATAAAGCCTGAATGCACGTCTAATTTACCCATCTCCATCTGGCTCTCGGGATAACCTTATTTTAAAATGTTAAAGACTTTAGTATTTTTTATTGCAGCTGCAGAGTTTTAAAACAGCCTATCACTCGAATATCGTTGCTTTAAATCAGTGCACGCGTGAGCACTCTCTCGCAGTCTTTCTCTCTCTCCATCAACTCCATTCAAATTGCATCCAAAATAGATGATCCTGTTCTAGATTGATATGTAGCCCTATATATAGAAGTCCTAGCCTACCTCTTTCAGGTAATACATTTCAATGCAGTATTAGCCTTATATTTAGCTAATTAATGATGGGTTATGCATAATAAGCTTCTAACCTATAGCCTCTGTCTCAAGAGCAATACGCACGCACCTGTGCTCCGGTGGCCTCTCTCCTTAAAAAACGCTCCTTAGCTCTTGGAGTCCCATGCAGGAAAAGCTACACTAGAATAGCTTGCTGGACTCTTTTTTTTTTTTTGCATTTCTTACTAATAGACTATTTGAAGAGGGACGCAAGCTCTTGTTTGCTGAACGTGGTACCTTCAGGCGTTTTGAAATTGCTCCCAAGGATGAACCAGACTTGTGGAGGTCTAAAAAAAAAAATCTGAGGTCTTGGCTGATTTCTTTTGAATTTCCCATGATGTCAAGCAAAGAGGCACTGAGTTTGAAGGTAGGCCTTGAAATACATCCACAGGTACACCTCCAATTGACTCAAATGATGTCAATTAGCCTATCAGAAGCTTCTAAAGCCATGACATCATTTTCTGGAATTTTCCAAGCTGTTTAAAGTCACAGACAACATAGTGTATTCAAACTTCTGACCCACTGGAATTGTGATACAGTGAACTATAAGTGAAATAATCTGTCTGTAAACAATTGTTGGAAAAATGACTTGTGTCATGCACAAAGTAGATGTCCTAACTGACTTGCCAAAACTATAGTTTGTTAACAAGACATTTGTGGAGTGGTTGAAAAAACGAGTTTTAATTACTCCGACCTAAGTGTATGTAAACTTCCGAGTAAATTCCATTCCTTACTATATTTGTGTGTTTTGGGTATACATTGTGAAATTGTTAGATATTACATGTTAGATATTACTGCACTGTCAGAGCTAGAAGCACAGGCATTTCGCTACAACCGCAATAACATCTGCTAAACACGAGTATGTGACAAATAAGATTTGATTTGAATTGATAATGACAAAGCGAAAACAGGTTTTTAGAGAAAAAAAATCCTTATTTAGATAAGTATTCAGACTCTTTGCTATGAGCTCAGGTGCATCCTGTTTCCAATTATCATCCTTGAGATGTTTCTACAACGTGATTGGAGTCCACCTGTGGAACATTGAATTGATTGGACATTATTTGGAAAGGCACCTGTCTATATAAGGTCCCACAGTTGACAGTGCATGTCAGAGCAAAAGCCATGAGGGTGAAGGAATTGTCCATCGAGCTCCGAAACAGCATTGTGTCGATGTACAGATCTGGGGAAGGGTACCGAAAACTTTCTGTAGCATTGAAGGTCCCCAAGAACACAGTGGTCTCCATCATTCTTAAGTGAAAGAAGTTTGGAACCACCAAGAATCTTCCTAGAACTGGCCACCCGGCCAAACTGAGAAATTGGGTGAGAAGGGCCTTGGTCAGGGAGGTGACCAAGAACCCGATGGTCACTCTGACAGAACTCCATAGTTCCTCTTGGAGATGGGAGAAACTTCCAGAAGGACAACCATCTCTGCAGCACTCCACCAATCAGGCCTTTATGGTAGAGTGGCCAGATGGAAGCCACTCCTCAGTAAAAGGCACATGACAGCCCGCTTGGAGTTTGCCAAGAGGCACCTAAAGGATACTCAGACCATGAGAAACAAGATTCTCTGGTCTGATGAAACCAAGATTACATTATTTGGCCTGAATGCCAAGCGTCACATCTGGAGGAAACCTGGCACCATCCCTATGATGAAGCATGGTGGTGGCAGCATCATGCTGTGGGGATGTTTTTAGCAGCAGGGACTGGAAGACTAGTCAGGATCGAGGGAAAGATTAACGTAGCAAAGTGCAGAGAGATCCTTGATGAAAACCTGCTCCAGAGTGCTCAGACTGGGAAGATGGTTCACCTTCCAACAGGACAACGACCCTAAGCACACAGCCAAGACAACGCTCAGGACCTCAGACTGGGGCAAAGGTTCAACTTCCAACAGGACAACGACCCTAAGCACACAGGCGAGACAACACAGTAGTGGTTGCGGGACAAGTCCCTGAATGTCCTTAAGTGGCCCAGCCAGAACTCCATCGAACATCTCTGGAGAGACCTGAAAATAGCTGTGCAGCGACGCTCTCCATCCAACCTGACAGAGCTTGAGAGGATCTGCAGAGAAGAATAGGAGAAACTCCCCAAATTCAGATGTGTCAAGCTTCATACCCAAGAAGCCTCGAGGCTGTAATTGCTGCCAATGGTGCTTCAACAAAGTACTGAGTAAAGGGTCTGAATACATTTACATTTTAGACATTTAGCAGACGCTCTTATCCAGAGCGACTTACAGTTAGTGAATGCATAAAAGGGATAATTTTTTTCATACTGGCCCCCCGTGGGAAACGGACCCACATCCCTGCCGGCCAAACCCTCCCTTACCTTGGACGACGCTGGACCAATTGTGCGCCGCCCATGGGTCTCCCGGACTTGAACCAGGATCTCTAGTGGCACAGCTAGCACTGCGATGCAGTGCCTTATACCACTGCGCCACTCGGGTGTGTTCCTATTAAGTACCTGTAAAAAGTTATTTGCATATTGCAAATAAACCAAATGACCAACATAACTTACCAGTAATACCCTACAATAGTTGTGCGTATTGCATATTTAAACTATTACAACAATACATCAGTTTGTGCCTGTTAGCACATATGACCCTATAGGCCATCTCATGTAGTGTTTGTGCTATTAAAAAGCTTGGAGGACGATCCTCTTCTGTAACCTGTGCTACAGTATGATAAAGGACTGAATAGGAAAAATGATATGACTTTGCCACTAATACAGAAATACAGACTAGACTAGGTTGGATTTACCGAAGCTGCCGACGTTTCACAGCATTGCTTATACAGTATCGTGTAACTGTCGGTATTGCATGAAAGTTCCAACATTTGAATGACAGACTAACCCTATCCCTTTAAAAATCTATGCAGAAACACCAAGAGTAACAGACGTGACCTGTTCATCTCTGCTGGTCAGCCAGCCTATCAAAGGGAGTGCGTAGTTATGTTAATGTAATATTTCCGTTTTTTTTTTAAATATAAATTTACAAACATTTAAAAAACCTGTTTTTGCTTTGTCATTATGTATAGATAGATGATAAAACATTTTTTAAACAATTTTAGAATAAGGCTGTAACGTAACAAAATGTGGAAAAAGTCAAGTTTCCAATTGCACTGTATGTGAAAAATCTAATTCGCTAGCCTATGCTTGTAACTTTGTAGGCCGCATGTGCTGCACCAGAATCACACGTTCTCTCCCTGCTTTATTGTGGTTTGAATGATGTGCGTAATTCTAGTCCATATAATACAATACAGTACAGTAATACAGTTCACACTCAAAAAAGATTAGCCTACTGGTGCTAGTTTAATTTATTTACCCAAGACAGCATATAGCTAGCTACATCTATGGGCTTTTATGTTTTTCTGTCGTGTCTAATGTGCAGTAGCCTATATCATATATGTGTTGGATAACGGCACAATCGTTTGGCCTTTTTTGGCTTGGGCTCATTAAATGTCTTTAATGTAGGGCTCATAAAATGTATTTAATGTACGGCTCATCAGCATCAGGCTTCAATTTGAGATCAAAGCTCTAATCAAATTCGGTCGGACATATGCCTATTTATATGCTTTATAATACTTTTGATTATATTTCCGGTTTTGGCGGGAAATACCGGGTTAACCAGGAGAAAATACATTTATTCGGGACGGAACATTTGTAAATTACCAGCAATATATTAAACCCTAGCTGTACAGGCCCTAGACAAAATGTAAATGTACAATCCAGCCATTTAAAAGGTTGTACAGCGCTCAGAGGTCAAATTCACATGGCATGACCATTGCTGTTAGAAAGGTCCACCCCCCAAGGATATAGTTGCCACAGTTGCATAACTAAACTCTTGGGGTTGGTGCCCTTTACACTGGAATTCTCTCCAATATGAAGAGCCAATGAGCCTGCCAAGAGGCACAAACAGTGCCTTCAGAAAGTATTCACACCCCTTGACTTTTTCCACATTGTTGTGTTACAGCCTGAATTTAAAATGGATTAAATTGAGAATTTGTGCCACTGATCTACACACAATATCCCAAAATGTCAAAGTGGAATTTTGCTTATAATTCTTTTTACAAATTAATAACAAATTAAAAGCTCAATTATTCAACTAACTCTGTGTGCAATAATAGCGGTTAATATGATTTTTGAATGATTCGCCCATCTCTGTACCCAACACATGCAATTATGTGTAAGGTCCCTCAGTCGAGTGGTGAATTTCAAGCAGAGATTCAACCACAAAGAGCAGGGAGGTTTTCCAATGCCTCGCAAAGAAGGGCACCTATTGGCAGATACTGAATATTCCTTTGAGCACGGTGAATTTATTAATTACCCATTGGATGGTGTATCAATAGACCCAGCCACTACAAAGATACAGGCGTCCTTCCGAACTCAGTTGCCGGAGAGGAAGGAAACCACTCAGCGAATTCACCATAATGCCAATGGTGATTTTAGAACAGTTACAGAGTTTAATGACTGTGATAGGTGAAAACTGAGGATGGATCAACAACATTGTAGTTACTCCAAAATACTAACCTAAATGACAGAGTGAAAAGAAGGAAGTCTGTACAGAATAAAAATATTCCAGAACATGCATCCTGTTTGCAATAAGGCACTAAAGTAATACTGCAACAAATGTGGCAAAGAAATGAACTTTTTGTCCTGAATACAAAGCATTATGTTTGGGGCAAATCATTTACATTTACATTTTAGTCATTTAGCAGACGCTCTTATCCAGAGCGACTTACAGTTAGTGAATGCATAAAAGGGATAATTTTTTTCATACTGGCCCCCCGTGGGAAACGGACCCACATCCCTGCCGGCCAAACCCTCCCTTACCTTGGACGACGCTGGACCAATTGTGCGCCGCCCATGGGTCTCCCGGACTTGAACCAGGATCTCTAGTGGCACAGCTAGCACTGCGATGCAGTGCCTTATACCACTGCGCCACTCGGGTGTGTTCCTATTAAGTACCTGTAAAAAGTTATTTGCATATTGCAAATAAACCAAATGACCAACATAACTTACCAGTAATACCCTACAATAGTTGTGCGTATTGCATATTTAAACTATTACAACAATACATCAGTTTGTGCCTGTTAGCACATATGACCCTATAGGCCATCTCATGTAGTGTTTGTGCTATTAAAAAGCTTGGAGGACGATCCTCTTCTGTAACCTGTGCTACAGTATGATAAAGGACTGAATAGGAAAAATGATATGACTTTGCCACTAATACAGAAATACAGACTAGACTAGGTTGGATTTACCGAAGCTGCCGACGTTTCACAGCATTGCTTATACAGTATCGTGTAACTGTCGGTATTGCATGAAAGTTCCAACATTTGAATGACAGACTAACCCTATCCCTTTAAAAATCTATGCAGAAACACCAAGAGTAACAGACGTGACCTGTTCATCTCTGCTGGTCAGCCAGCCTATCAAAGGGAGTGCGTAGTTATGTTAATGTAATATTTCCGGTTTTTTTTTAAATATAAATTTACAAACATTTAAAAAAAATTAGCCTACTGGTGCTAGTTTCATTTATTTACCCAAGACAGCATATAGCTAGCTACATCTATGGGCTTTTATGTTTTTCTGTCGTGTCTAATGTGCAGTAGCCTATATCATATATGTGTTGGATAACGGCACAATCGTTTGGCCTTTTTTGGCTTGGGCTCATTAAATGTCTTTAATGTAGGGCTCATAAAATGTATTTAATGTACGGCTCATCAGCATCAGGCTTCAATTTGAGATCAAAGCTCTAATCAAATTCGGTCGGACATATGCCTATTTATATGCTTTATAATACTTTTGATTATATTTCCGGTTTTGGCGGGAAATACCGGGTTAACCAGGAGAAAATACATTTATTCGGGACGGAACATTTGTAAATTACCAGGAATATATTAAACCCTAGCTGTACAGGCCCTAGACAAAATGTAAATGTACAATCCAGCCATTTAAAAGGTTGTACAGCGCTCAGAGGTCAAATTCACATGGCATGACCATTGCTGTTAGAAAGGTCCACCCCCCAAGGATATAGTTGCCACAGTTGCATAACTAAACTCTTGGGGTTGGTGCCCTTTACACTGGAATTCTCTCCAATATGAAGAGCCAATGAGCCTGCCAAGAGGCACAAACAGTGCCTTCAGAAAGTATTCACACCCCTTGACTTTTTCCACATTGTTGTGTTACAGCCTGAATTTAAAATGGATTAAATTGAGAATTTGTGCCACTGATCTACACACAATATCCCAAAATGTCAAAGTGGAATTTTGCTTATAATTCTTTTTACAAATTAATAACAAATTAAAAGCTCAATTATTCAACTAACTCTGTGTGCAATAATAGCGGTTAATATGATTTTTGAATGATTCGCCCATCTCTGTACCCAACACATGCAATTATGTGTAAGGTCCCTCAGTCGAGTGGTGAATTTCAAGCAGAGATTCAACCACAAAGAGCAGGGAGGTTTTCCAATGCCTCGCAAAGAAGGGCACCTATTGGCAGATACTGAATATTCCTTTGAGCACGGTGAATTTATTAATTACCCATTGGATGGTGTATCAATAGACCCAGCCACTACAAAGATACAGGCGTCCTTCCGAACTCAGTTGCCGGAGAGGAAGGAAACCACTCAGCGAATTCACCATAATGCCAATGGTGATTTTAGAACAGTTACAGAGTTTAATGACTGTGATAGGTGAAAACTGAGGATGGATCAACAACATTGTAGTTACTCCAAAATACTAACCTAAATGACAGAGTGAAAAGAAGGAAGTCTGTACAGAATAAAAATATTCCAGAACATGCATCCTGTTTGCAATAAGGCACTAAAGTAATACTGCAACAAATGTGGCAAAGAAATGAACTTTTTGTCCTGAATACAAAGCATTATGTTTGGGGCAAATCATTTACATTTACATTTTAGTCATTTAGCAGACGCTCTTATCCAGAGCGACTTACAGTTAGTGAATTTTTTTTTTTTTTTTTTTTATACTGGCCCCCCGTGGGAATTGAACCCACAACCCTGGCGTTGCAAACGCCATGCTCTATCAACTGAGCTACATCCCTGCCGGCCATTCCCTCCCCTACCCTGGACAACGCTGGGCCAATTGTGCGCCGCCCATGAGTCTCCCGGTCGGCTGCGACAGAGCCTGGATCCTGAAATCCAACACAACATATCACTTATTACCACTCTTCATATTTTCAAGCATGGTGCTGGCTGCATCATGTTATGGATATACTCGTCATCGGCAAGGACTAGGGAGTTTTTTTAGGATAGAAATAAACGGAATAGAGCTAAGCAGAGGCAAAATCCTAGAGGAAAACCTGCTTCAGTCTGCTTTCCAACAGACACTGGGAGACAAATTCACTTTTCAGCAGGACAATAACTTTAAACTCAAGGCCAAATATAACCTGGAGTTGCTTACCAAGACGACATTGAATGTTCCTGAGTGGCCTAGTTACCATTTTGACTTAAATCGGCTTCAAAATCTATGACAAGACTTCAATATGGTTGTCTAGCAATGATCAACAACCAACTTGACAGAGCTTGAAGAGTTTAAAAAAGAATAAGGGCAAATATTGTACAATACAGGTGCGCAAAGCATACCCAAAAAGACTCAATGCTGTAGTCGCTGCCAAAGGTGATTCTAAAGTATTGACTCAGTGGCTTAAATACTTATCTAATCAAAGATATATTAGAGTTGTATTTTTCATTAATCTAAAAAAATATCTATATAATTTTCTTCCACTTTGACATTACAGAGTATTTTGTGTAGATCATTGAAAAAAGGACAATTAAAGCTGCAATATGTAACTTTTTGGGCGACCCGACCAAATTCACATAGAAATTTGAGGTATAGATCTGTCATTCTCATTGAAAGCAAGTCTAAGAAGCGGTGGATCTGCTCTATGTGCGATATTTCTATGCTTTCCGTGCTTAAGTTTAGTTTTTGTGTCATTTACTTTCGGTTTTGTACACCAGCTTCAAACAGCTGAAAATACAATATTTGTGGTTATGGAAAATATATTTCACAGCGGTTTAAATGGTGTAATGATTCCCTACACAATGACAGCTTGTTTTGTCACATAAACTATTAGATTTTTAGCAACCAGGAAATGGCGGAGCCATTTCTGCATATTGCACCTTTAAATCAATTTTTAATTAATTAATTAATCCCAATTTGTAACACAGAATGTGGAAGGTGGGGTGTGAATACTTTCTGAAGGCACTGTATTTCCAATCAATATACTGCCCCACTGCCCTGCTCATATATAATGACTGCCTTGTAGACTACTGAATGTGAGGCTTTGTGTATTGAAGGGTCCCTTTGGGCTCTTGTGATGATGTATGGACTGCGTCTCTAAGGACTGAGAATCTGTAGTGTATACATAGATGTAGCATGTATGTAGTATGGTCTCAAGGCCCACAAGGCCCACCAAAGCCCACAAGGCTTGTTGATTCAGAAACATCATTGAACAATTCATTCCATTCATTGTGAGAGGACCATTTTCCTCTGTCCTTTTCATTCATTTTGTTATTTCTCAACAACATTGACCACTTTGCTGGCCACTAATGGACATCCATCTGCCATGTACTAGTAGATCCATAAAGGACACTTGGAGGATAAATTCCATTATCGATTTGTTTTTGTCAAAGAGCTCTGTTTAGCCGATTATTCATGTACTTTTTCAAGTCAAGGATGCATTCTAGGAAATTGCTTCAGCTAGGAGAAGTATAAGTAAATGCACCGGGCCTTGATCCACATCCTCGAGTGATCATTATAGGAAAAGATGCTGAAGGAGATAATAGGAGCCCTTACAAAAAAATAAATAATAATCCCCCCCCTACCTTGTCACAACACAACTGATTGGCTCAAATGCATTAAGAAGGAAATAAATTCCACAAATTAACTTTTAACAAGGCACACCTGTTAATTGAAATGCATTCCAGGTGACTACCTCATGAAGCTGGTTGAGAGAATGCCAAGAGTGTGCAAAGCTGTCATCAAGGCAAAGGGTGGCTATTTGAAGAATCTCAAATATAAAATATATTTTGATTTGTTTAACACTTTTTTGTTTACTACATGATTCCATATGTGTTATTTCATAGTTTTGATGTCTTCAGTATTATTCTACAATGTAGAAAATAGTAAAAATATGAATGAGTAGGCGTGTACAAACTTTTTACTGGTACTGTACATGTGCAACAATAGTAATCATATTACTAGTATTTTTTTAAAACACCTTATAAACTGCACACGCACTAAAAACCCTGTTGTTTTGACAAGTTTCAATAAATCACTGATATTGATTAGGGGGGAAATCAGATTTTAGGTGCTGTTGAAATTAACACAAATAAAAAACACATTGAAACTGGAGATATTTTTTACATCACTGGTTAGAGAACAACCTGCTGAAGACAGTCAGCTACATTTTGGAGTGATGCATTTTGATTTGGGGGTCGCCAAAAAGGAAAGAGAAATGCAACACTTATTTGTTAATCACTCATATTGATATCATGTTGAAATCAATTGAGCCAGAGGGGGAGATGAGGTTGCACGTCCTGTTAAAACAAACACAGCTCAAATACCACACAGAATCTGTGAATAATGTGTACATCACTGGTTAGACGTGTTGGATTCTAACTTCTAACTTGAAAAATCCTTATTCATGTTACCATATTAGAACTGAGTGTATGGAAATCTAGAAAGGGGAGTGCAGAAAGTTTACATTCTGTCTGAACATGTTATTGTTAAATCTCATGTATCCTATGGAGAGGAGAAGGGCAACGGTCTGGTTTCAGTCACAGATAAGGTAGGACAGCCGTGAGTTAGGGAGGATTGAGGAATTCAGGCCGGGGTCAGGTCAGAGGAAGTGAGAAGGCATAGTCGCCACCTGAGTTCCTGCCTAGCAACAAATATGTATTGGCTGTCTAAATGTGGAGGAGAGACTCACCCTGGAAGGAGGGTATAAATATGTGTGCTTGTGTAAACATGTCTTTGTCTTTTCAGCTGTTTGACCCAGTGGGTGAATAAACTTGGTTTGAGCTTGACTAGTTGTCCGTTAGGTTCTCACAAACAGAGTGAAAAACTAACAGTTGGCGTTGTTGGCAGGATTCACAACGATTTTTTGTCGAACTGGAGAGTCCGAATCAGTGGAGCAGGAGCCGGAACAAAAAAACAAGGTAGGCACAGTTCCTACACCTGTTACCACTCATTCAGACATCTTGGGGAGATGAGAGTCATTGGCTGAACAACAATAGGATAGAAAGCCTGAGCTTATTCTGTAGTCCCATTATATAACGACCGGTCGTAGATTTATGGTATATGGTAAGACCCAGAAGGTAAGCCTGAGCAGGGTAGTCCCTGCGGAGGGTATGTCCTAGGGGGTAAATCCCGGGTGGGGTTGATTCCCTGCTAGACCCGTAATAAGGGGGGGTGAAAGCCAAGCCGCGGTGGCCATGAGGCCATAGGGTGTGTGTGAGTGTATGAATGTTTGAACATGATTTGTCTGTAGTAACAGCAGCAATAAAGAGAGAGGTTGGTCCATGCCCTATTGGGGCAGAGAACCATGACAGATTAGGTGGAAATAGGAGGACAACTGTGAGTAATTTTAGTAATGAGGATCGTTGGGAACAGTGGTATTTTATGTCGAGAAATTGGACTAGAACCCCTTCCCATGCTACACATTAGTCGTCCACAATTACCTGTGGTGAATTGACGGACACGAGTGTGGTCCAGCACCAAAAGTGTATGGAGGGAACAGCAGGATTTCTTATAAGCGTCCGGGTTAGAGTCCCGCTCCTTAAAAGCAGCAGCTCTACCCTGTAGCTCAGTACGGATGTTGCCTGTAATCCATGGCTTCTGGTTGGGGTATGTACGTACGGTCACTGTGAGGACGACGTCATCGAAACATATTCCCGGAACATATTCCAGTCTGTGCTAGAACAAAACATTCCTGTAGCTTAGCATCTGCGTCATCTGACCACTTATTTATTGACCGAGTCACTGGTGCTTCCTGCTTTAGTTTTTGCTTGTAAGTAGGAATCAGGAGGATAGAATTATGGTCAGATTTGCCAAATGGAGGGCGTGGGAGAGCTTTGTACGCGTCTCTGTGTGTGGAGTAAAGGTGGTCTAGAGTTGTTTTCCCTCTGGTTGCACATTTATTTAGAAATTAGGTAAAACAGATTTAAGTTTCCCTGCATTAAAGTCCCCGGCCACTAGGAGCACAAAGTCCCCTGTCTATATGAACTGAGCCAGCCACAGTCTCTGGTGTGTTAACGCTTGAGTCCCTCCATCTCCCCTCCGAATCCCTATGGGGCAGAGGGCAGGGGAACCGGGAAGGATAGGAAAGTGTGGTAGTCAGCGCACAGCCTGGAATTAGAGCAGTAATCATTCTCCCGTCACCTGTGTGGATGAACAGATGCACAACGTATTGGCTGCAGCAGTGGATGCCTCCTCCACCCCTGCTACACCTTCTGTTGACAAGCTGCTTCTCTTCCCCCATTACTCCATACGCTGCCAGTCATGTGCACGCACAATCGCTTCCTCATTAAATCCCTGTCTTTATTAAATGAGCCAGCCACAGTCTCTGGTGTGTTAACGCTTGAGTCCCTCCACCTCCCCTCCGAATCCCTAGGGGGCAGAGGGCAGGGGAACCGGGAAGGATAGAAAAGTGTGGTAGTCAGCGCACAGCCTGGAGGATTTAGAGCAGTAATCATTCTCCCGTCACCTGTGTGGATGCACAGATGTATTGGCTGCAGCAGTGGATGCCTCCTCCACCCCTGCAACACTCCCTCTTCCTCCTCCTCCCACCAGCCTCCCAGCTTCTGTAGCAGAGCCGCCCTCTATCTCCTGTGGTGGGTGCCCCACCGCCATGCCTGGCCTGTGTGAGAGAGGCCATCAAAAGAACTCACCACATGTTCAAGAATGGCCTTTTCCCCTTTATTCAGATTACAACCTTTCACTTTCAGTTATTTGAAAAGGAAATTATCTCCCAAATATCACTATTTCTAAAACAAGCCATAGAAAGTTGGATGCAATTTCAATTTAATCCTCCAGAAACGACAGAACAAATAATGCAACAAATATAGTGGTTAAACTCAAATATACTAATTGATAAAAAAACATAAAAAAAAGAAAAAAAAAAGTATAATCTTTGTAAATTACATCATAGGTAGGACTGGTGGAGTTATGTCGCACATGCAGCTAACAAAAACATATGGAAATGTCTGCTCTACCCAAAATTACAACCAAATAATTGCAGCATTACCGCAAAAATGGAAGAGGAAAGTGGAAGGGGGAAAAAGTAAGGAACTTGTCTGTCGGCCCTGCAATAAAGAACATAATTGGTTAAAGAAAATTGTGATAAATAAAAAAGTATGTCAGTTTCACTTAAGGACTAAAGGATTGACAGCCGTCCCATATAGATTGCAAAATAGTTGGGAAGACATTTTTGACGTACCGATTCCATGGCATAGTGTTTATGAACTTATACGCAAAACTTAGAATGTTTACATTTAAATTATTATCCAAAATTCTTGCTACCAATAGAATGTTATTTACAGTGGGGAAAACAAGTATTTGATACACTGCCGATTTTGCAGGTTTTCCTACTTACAAAGCATGTAGAGGTCTGTAATTTTTATCATAGGTACACTTCAACTGTGAGAGACGGAATTCAGAAAATCACATTGTATGATTTTTAAGTAATTAATTTGCATTTTATGGCATGACATAAGTATTTGATACATCAGAAAAGCAGAACTTAATATTTGGTACAGAAACCTTTGTTTGCAATTACAGAGATCATACGTTTCCTGTAGGTCTTGACCAGGTTTGCACACACTGCAGCAGGGATTTTGGCCAACTCTTCCATACAGACCTTCTCCAGATCCTTCAGGTTTCGAGGCTGTCGCTGGGCAATACGGACTTTCAGCTCCCTCCAAAGATTTCTATTGGGTTCAGGTCTGGAGACTGGCTAGGCCACTCCAGGACCTTGAGATGCTTCTTACGGAGCCACTCCTTAGTTGCCCTGTCTGTGTGTTTCGGGTCGTTGTCATGCTGGAATATCCAGTCACGACCCATCTTCAATGCTCTTACTGAGGGAAGGAGGTTGTTTGCCAAGATCTCGCGATACATGGCCCCATCCATCCTCCCCTCAATACGGTGCAGTCGTCCTGTCCCCTTTGCAGAAAAGCATCCCCAAAGAATGATGTTTCCACCTCCATGCTTCACGGTTGGGATGGTGTTCTTGAGATTGTACTCATCCTTCTTCTTCCTCCAAACACAGCGAGTGGAGTTTAGACCAAAAGCTCTATTTTTGTCTCATCAGACCACATGACCTTCTCCCATTCCTCCTCTGGATCATCCAGATGCTCATTGGCAAACTTCAGACGGGCCTGGACATGCGCTGGCTTGAGCAGGGGGACCTTGCGTGCGCTGCAGGATTTTAATCCATGACGGCGTAGTGTGTTACTAATGGTTTTCTTTGAGACTGTGGTCCCAGGTCATTGACCAGGTCCTGCCGTGTAGTTCTGGGCTGATCCCTCACCTTCCTCATGATCATTGATGCCCCACGAGGTGAGATCTTGCATGGAGCCCCAGACCGAGGGTGATTGACCGTCATCTTGAACTTCTTCCATTTTCTAATAATTGCGCCAACAGTTGTTGCCTTCTCATCAAGCTGCTTGCCTTTTGTCCTGTAGCCCATCCCAGCCTTTTTTAGGTCTACAATTTTATCCCTGATGTCCTTACACAGCTCTCTGGTCTTGGCCATTGTGGAGAGGTTGGAGTCTGTTTGATTGAGTGTGTGGACAGGTGTCTTTTATACAGGTAACGAGTTCAAACAGGTGCAGTTAATACAGGTAATGAGTGGAGAACAGGAGGGCTTCTTAAAGAAAAACTAACAGGTCTGTGAGAGCCGTAATTCTTACTGATTGGTAGGTGATCAAATACTTATGTCATGCAATAAAATGCAAATTAATTACTTAAAAATCATACAATGTGATTTTCTGGATTTTTGTTTTAGATTCCGTCTCTCACAGTTGAAGTGTACCTATGATAAAAATTACAGACCTCTACATGCTTTGTAAGTAGGAAAACCTGCAAAATCGGCAGTGTATCAAATACTTGTTCTCCCCACTGTATATGGGGGATACATTCTTCCCAGTTCTGCAGATTTTGCTGCAAAGAGACAGAATCATTAGATAATTTGTTTTGGTACTGTTCATTTGTAGCTTGGTTTTGGTCACAGGTCCAGGAATGGCTGAATGATTGCAATATTTACCTGGAGCTAACCCTGCAGATAACACTACTGGGTGATCTGAAAAGTCATAGTCAATCGATCAATAATATAATAATACTTTTAGCAAAAATGTTTATTTTCAATTTACAATCTGTAGAAACAATGAGAATAGAAGGGTTCAGAACTTTTGTGAAACATCACAGTACAGTTGAAAAATATATGGCAAATAGAAATCCAATATGGATGGTGTTAAGAGATAGATGGGCGGTGTTGAATGGAGTTGAAGGATGAGACTAATAACAACTAACAACAACAAGATAACTAATGTAAAGCATACTGTGTCCATAATAAGAACAGTGGGGAAAAAAAGTACATGCTATATACATTTTATTGACACAGTCAATTTTACAATAGTTATATTTTGTTTGTTTTTACTCCTGAACTTCCTCTACCCTCAACCTCTCCGATCATTTTCATGATGTCCATCCGGTTTGCTTCTATATGCCATATCTTTCTAACTGTGCTCTTTCACAAAAGCTCTCAACCTATAACCTATATACAGTGGGGGAAAAAAGTATTTAGTCAGCCACCAATTGTGCAATTTCTCCCACTTAAAAAGATGAGAGAGGCCTGTAATTTTCATCATAGGTACACGTCAACTATGACAGACAAATTGAGGGAAAAAAATCCAGAAAATCACATTGTAAGATTTTTTATGAATTTATTTGCAAATTATGGTGGAAAATAAGTATTTGGTCACCTACAAACAAGCAAGATTTCTTGCTCTCACAGACCTGTAACTTCTTCTTTAAGAGGCTCCTCTGTCCTCCACTCGTTACCTGTATTAACGGCACCTGTTTGAACTTGTTATCAGTATAAAAGACACCGGTCCACAACCTCAAACAGTCACACTCCAAACTCCACTATGGCCAAGACCAAAGAGCTGTCAAAGGACACCAGAAACAAAATTGTAGACCTGCACCAGGCTGGGAAGACTGAATCTGCAATAGGTAAGCAGCTTGGTTTGAAGAAATCAACTGTGGGAGCAATTATTAGGAAATGGAAGACATACAAGACCACTGATAATCTCCCTCGATCTGGGGCTCCACGCAAGATCTCACCCCGTGGGGTCAAAATGATCACAAGAATGGTGAGCAAAAATCCCAGAACCACACGGGGGGACCTAGTGAATGACCTGCAGAGAGCTGGGACCAAAGTAACAATGCCTACCATCAGTAACACACTACGCCGCCAGGGACTCAAATCCTGCAGTGCAAGACGTGTCCCCCTGCTTAAGCCAGTACATGTCCAGGCCCGTCTGAAGTTTGCTAGAGTGCATTTGGATGATCCAGAAGAGGATTGGGAGAATGTCATATGGTCAGATGAAACCAAAATATAACTTTTTGGTAAAAACTCAACTCGTCGTGTTTGGAGGACAAAGAATGCTGAGTTGCATCCAAAGAACACCATACCTACTGTGAAGCATGGGGGTGGAAACATCATGCTTTGGGGCTGTTTTTCTGCAAAGGGACCAGGACGACTCATCCGTGTAAAAGAAAGAATGAATGGGGCCATGTATCCTGAGATTTTGAGTGAAAACCTCCTTCCTTCAGCAAGGGCATTGAAGATGAAACGTGGCTGGGTCTTTCAGCATGACAATGATCCCAAACACACCGCCCGGGCAACGAAGGGGTGGCTTCGTAAGAAACATTTCAAGGTCCTGGAGTGGCCTAGCCAGTCTCCAGATCTCAACCCCATAGAAAATCTTTGGAGGGAGTTGAAAGTCCGTGTTGCCCAGCGACAGCCCCAAAACATCACTGCTCTAGAGGAGATCTGCATGGAGGAATGGGCCAAAATACCAGCAACAGTGTGTGAAAACCTTGTGAAGACTTACAGAAAACTTTTGACCTGTGTCATTGCCAACAAAGGGTATATAACAAAATATTGAGAAACTTTTGTTATTGACCAAATACTTATTTTCCACCATAATTTGCAAATAAATTCATAAAAAATCCTACAATGTGATTTTCTGGAATTGTTTTTCTCATTTTGTCTGTCATAGTTGACGTGTACCTATGATGAAAATTACAGGCCTCTCTCATATTTTTAAGTGGGAGAACTTGCACAATTGGTGGCTGATTAAATACTTTTTTTCCCCACTGTATATAGGTTATAGGTTGAGAGCTTTTGTGAAAGAGCACAGTTAGAAAGATATGGCATATAGAAGCAAACCGGATGGACATCATGAAAATGATCGGAGA